CTGCAGACACTCATAATAATGAGGGCACATCAAGTGGTTACACAAAACAGTTCGTTAACAAGTGCAAAAAAAACACATTTGCAGGTAAAGCCATCGATAATGACACAAAAGTACCCCTGATGAGCCCATCAGGGTATAGTGCAATGGTTGCCTGCGCCTCAGGCAAAAAAGGCATCAAGTGTAAAGGTGCAATTACATTCACTAGCCCTGGAAACACTTGGGTTCAAGTAATAACATGGTAAAAACAGTCACAATAACATACGGTATCGAAGAAACACTCGGTACCGAGAAGGCACACAAAAAATTGCAAAGTTCAAGGGGGGCATGAGCCCAGAATTGCCCTCCCAAAGGCCATGTCAGGTGTGTACCTGGTGTTCAGTCTATAATGTGAAACAAATGTCTGAGGATTCTTCCAAATGGCCGCCTTGCAAATAGCGTCCAGGGGAATCCCCTTAAGAAAAGCCGTTGAGGCCGCCATAGCCCTAGTCGACCGAGCCCGGACGACCGAGGGGGGCTATCTTCGAGCCAACTGGTAACAAAGCTCGATGGTCGATGTAATCCAGTGTGACAAGCGTTGCGCCGTGATCGGCAGGCCCACCTTATCAGGGGCATATGCAACAAAGAGTCTCTGAGTCCTTCGAGACTGAGCAGTCCTGTCCTTATAACACAGCAATGCTCTCCGCACATCGAGCATATGAAGTCTCTTCTCCTCCGGGGTAGAGGGGAACTGACACAAGGAGGGAAGGATAATGTCCTCATTAACATGGAAGGGGGACACGACCTTAGGGAGGAATGTCACATCTGTGCAGAAACTGCTCTATCCTCGTGGACAACAAAGTAAGGTTCGTCCACCCGCAATGCCGCGAGCTCCGACGGTCGTCGTGCTGAGGTGATAGCGACCAGAAAGGCCACCTTCCACGACAAAAGCCGAAGATCGATCGACGCCAATGGCTCGAATGGTGGTTGTGCAAGCCGAGCTAGCACGAGGTCGAGGTCCCATCCCGGGGTTGGAGAATGAACCGGGGGATGCAAGTTGTTGAAACCCCGCAAAAAGGATTTCACGGAGCTGTCCTTAAACAAGGAGGCTTCACCTGTCCGCTGCAGCTGCCATGAGATGGCCGCCAAGTGGGACTTGAGCGACGATAGTGACAAACCTCGTTCGGTAAGGTGCAGCAAGAACGAGAGGATTGTCGGTACCGAAGGTCGATGGTCGTCTAGGCCCTTCTCGACAAGGAAGGCCTGGAAGCGGTTGAGGCACGCCGAGTAGCACTTCTTGGTCGCTGGCTTATGGGCTGCCTCCAGGATCGGAAGGACTCCTGGGCACAGGGCTCTTAGAACTGGATCCTCCACGCCGAAAGATGCAGAGAAGCGAGGTCGGGGTGGAGAAGCTGACCGTCCTCTCGGGAGAGCAGATCTTGTCAAAGTGGAAGGCGTTTCATCCGCCCCTCGGACAACTGGAGCAGGACCGAGAACCACGGTTGTCGTGGCCATTCCGGCGCCACCAAGATGCAGTTCGTTTGCGCCGATTGGATCCTCTCGATCACCCTCGGGATGAGCGGGAAAGGAGGGAAGAGGTAGAGCAGATGTCTTGACCAGTCTAACAGGAACGCGTCTCCGAGACATCCCGGTACCGTGTTCGGAGCAAGTCGAGCACCGAACTGAGGGAGCTGAGCGTTTTGCGGCGACGCGAAGAGATCTGCGACTGGAAGGCCCCATTCCTCGAAGATCTTTGCCAGCACATCGGGGTTCAACCTCCACTCGTGAGATGTTGCCCTGGTTCTGCTGAGTGCGTCGGCCTCGGTGTTGATCTCGCCCGGGAGGTGCAATGCTGTTATCGACACCGACCTGGCTACACACCAGTCCCAAAGTTCCATTGATAGCTTGAGGAGTTTCCTCGAGCCCGTTCCGCCCTGCTTGTTCACGTAGAACATTGCCACCGTTGTCCGTGAGAATTTGGACGGACTTCCCGGTAACCAGGAGGGCAAATGCTCTCAGGGCCTTGAATATTGCCAGCAGTTCCAAGTAATTTATGTGGCATTGTCTTTCTTGTGGAGACCAGAGATCGTGAACTGAGAGGTCTCCTGTATGGCATCCCCATGCGAACATCGAGGCGTCCGTCGTGATCGTGACGGTCGGGGGTTCTGGATGAAAGGAAATGCCCTTGCAGACATGTTCGCATCTCGTCCACCAGGCCAGTGAGTCCTTTACCGACCTCGGTACCAGCAGACGCTTTGCGGCACTGTCCCGCATGGGGTTGAAGTGGTCCAAGAACCACCTCTGGAGGGGACGGAAGCGGAGCCTTGCTAACGGTGTCACCATCACCGTGGAGGCCATGTGCCCGAGGAGGACTTGTATTTGCTTCGCCGAGACCACTCAGGAGCGACGCACCTTCAGTGTTTCGGCCCGAAGAGCCCTGAATCTCTCCTCTGGAAGGAAGACCGTCTGGGAGAGAGAATCGAACATGGCGCCGATGAACTTTATGCAAGTGGTGGGCTCGAGGTGGGATTTTTCCTTGTTCAACTGGAGGCCCAGGTCCTCAAGGAGGGAAAGTGTCCTTGCCACCTGCGCCCGCAGAAGGTCCGGTGAGCGTGCTGCCAACAACCAGTCATCTAAATAAGGGAAAATCCGGATTTTTTCCCTTCTGAGGGCTGCTGCGACCACCGACATGCATTTCGTGAAGGTCCTCGGTGCCGTCACGAGACCGAAGGGGAGGACATTGAAATTGTATGACTGTCCCGCTACCCTGAAGGCCAGGAAGCGTCTGTGATGTTTCCTGACTGAGAGATGGAAGTAAGCGTCCCGGAGATCGACGGACGCAAAGAAGTCCCCGTATCTGAGAAGAGGAAGAATGGACGATACCGTCACCATCCGAAACTTTTGAGGTTCGATGAAGGAGTTTAAGTCTCTGAGGTCGAGGATGGGGCGGAGGGAGCCATCCGGCTTTGGGACAGTAAAGTATCTGGAGAAGAAGGCTCGATGGTTTTGGGAGTCCGGGAGAGGGGAGATTGCTCCCTTCAGAAGCAAGGTCTCGATCTCTGACAGAATTGCCGAGGATGGTTCGGTGTCGACAATCTGTCCTGTTGGTGGGAGCTCTTCGAACTCCAATGCATAGCCTTCGTCGACAATCTTTAAAACCCATGCATCTGAGGTGATATTTTCCCATGCAGGGAGAAAGTTTGTCAGGCGATCTCCGAACGGTGTCGAGCCGGATGGAAGGATGAGGGCGGGTACCATTGGAAGGGACATGGGAACAACATCGGTAACGAAACTGTACACGGTATCGTCCGCAAGGGCGTCAAATGCGGCGCCTGGCCTGGTTGCCTCCTGAAGCCTGGCGAGAGCGCGAACGCTGCTGCTGGTGCTGCCTCCGCTGTTGTTGGGGTTGTTGAGGTTGGGTTTGTTGGGAGTTCTGCAGGGGACGGGTTGGATGGCGGTACTGGATGGTACGGTACGGGATCGTGTGCCGGCGCCTGTATTGGAACCATCTGGTTCTTTGTGCCTGGTTCTGATTTTCGAACCCGCACTTGGAAGCCAAAGTCTTGAAGTCGTGATTTGACTTCAGTTTGTCGTCCGTCCCAGCATTGAAGAGCCCCAGGGCATCAAAGGGAAGGTCTTCGATCACCTGCCTCGATGAAGTAGAGAGGCCAGAGGATCTAAGCCATGCATGCCTTCTGATTGCCACTGCATGAGCAATCATTTTTCCGGCAGTGTCCCCTGTGTGCTTGACCATCTGCATCTGGTGATGCGCCAGAGAATTTGCCTCCTGTGCCAGGGTGGTCATGGCAGCACGATCCTCCTCAGACATCCTCTGGAAGAATGGTTCCGCCTTTTCCCAGAGGATTTGCTGGTACGCTCCCATGCATGCCCCATAATTCGCCATGCGGGCCAACAAAAGGGCACCAGAGTAGAACTTCCTGCCCACGGCATCGAACCTCTTTCCCTCACGGTCGGACGGCGCCGAGGACTGCCTTCCGAACCCTTGAGCCGCCTTCACGACCACCGAGTTAGGGTCGGGGTGGTGTTTCAGCCATTCCAAGCCCTCATCATCAGTCCTGTACCAAGATTCAATCTTCTTGGATGTTGGAGGGATGGATGAAGGGGTCTTCCAGGAGCCTTGAATCACCTCGAGGAGGTAGGGAAGAAAGGGTAGGAGAGGAGCGGGTGGGGACTCCCTCTGCATCCTTTTGAATACTGGGTCCAGTACTGCCTTGGAGGTTTGCTTGACCTCCAGGCCTAGAGCCTCAGCCATGCGAGCCATTTGATCCGCAAAGGCTCGGACATTGTCAGTAGGGGATGGCGGATCAACCTCATAGGCGTCGTGGGTAGGTGATTTCTCGATCCTGAGAGACAACACCAATCCCGAGTGTACCGATCCCGGTAACTCGCCATCTTCTTCATCGTCAGCAGCCAAGGATCGGGGAGGAGGGGATGAGGAAACATCCCGACTCGCGAGCTGCAGAGGAGCCACTGGGGGGACTTTAGAAGCCGAGGCCTGAATGGCACGGGCTAGTCTCATCGTCTGTCTGCCCCTTTCTGGAGTCTCCAGCACAGGAGAGGTCTCCTGTCTGGCTGTCACAGTAGTCAACGTCGTGGCCTTCGGGAAAAGCTCCTGTCTGGCTGTCAAGTGTCGAGCAGGTGCCTCGATCACCGTGTCCACCGAGATCACCGGGGACTCGGGCTGTTCCGAAGGCTGCTCTGGGAAGGATTGCGGCTCCTGAGCAGGTTGTGGGGCCGGCTGAGGTTCAGCAGGCTGTAACGGCGATGACCTCGCAGACGAGGTGGCCGAGGAGGCAGTGGTCTGCTTTCGGGAAGAAGAGGAAGACGAGGATGGAGGCGGCATCGTCTTCTTCTTCTTTGCCGGCGGCTGAGCTGTTTTCGACACAGACTTGCCCGGGGTGGGCGGGACGGAGGATGAGGTGGAAGCACGCCGTGACTCTTCCTGAGACCGGCGGAAAGCAATGCGAACCGCCGTGGAAGATGGCGGGGTCGCCGACGTCGACCTCGTGGACCTGGCCGATCTCACCGACGCCACCGAGCTGGTCGATGAGTGTCGAATGCGTACGGTCTCGGTCGTGACTGTGCAAGGAGCCTTCTGCTTCGTAGGCTTTGCCGCCTTAGAAGCTGTCGACACAGAGGCCTTCGAGACTGTCGACATGGCTGGTCTTGGCCTTTTCTGTGCGGCCTTTTTCGCCCTTGTCTGGCGAGGCCCGGCCTCCGTCGAGGGATCGGCAGATGTAGATGTCGATGCCTTCGATCTCGAGGCTGACGTCGAAGGTCCGGATACCGCAGCCGACGTCAATGCCGATGCCGATGTTGAAGGTACCGGGGCCAACGTCTGTTGGTACAGAAGGTACCGAAGCTGATGAACTCGGTTCTTGCGGGACTGTGCCGTCAACGATTGACAATGACGACACGAAGAAGTAATATGTGCCTCTCCGAGACACAGAAGGCAAAGAGCGTGCTTGTCCGAATCAGGAATCTTCCTCGGACAATTCGCGCATCTTTTGAAGCGAGTTGTTGACATAATCCGGTCAACAACTCGAGAGACAATCCTAAGAGAATCGCTATACTATCGAACTATTCCTAGAAGTCCGAAGTGAGCCGTGCGGCGGAAAAAAAGGAATTGGATCGGTGTGCGCGGGGCGCCCTTTTATCCCCTGCCGGGGCTGGGCGGGGTTACCGCCAAAACTTGAAAGTTTTTGAAAAGTAGAAGTTTCCGTTGGAGCCCGCGCAGGCGCATTCTCTCCACAAGTGTGCATTCGCAGAGACCACGAAGAAAAAATATTTTTAGCTTAATTTGTAAGTTGTGTTACACTTTCAAATGATTCATGCAAGTTGGATATTTTAAGATTTTTTTAAAAAAGAGAAAAAAAGAATTTGAGTTTGTTACTGGAATCTTTTACATTTATGTAGCTTGATTATATGAGCAGGGTCCTTAGAAAAGTGAGAGCTACCACATTTGTGCCAAACCTTCCTGGTTTATAAAAACAGACAAAAGGAGTTTGGCTGAGTGGGCAACAGGAGTAGTGGCTACCTCATAGCAGAAAGATAGAGTTCCATCCTGCCAAAAAGTAGCTGTGGTGAGACACTACTTTGGCTCAAAAATATCTGAATTTGTTATTTTTGCTGTCCCTCATTGTTGGCTGGTCTGTAGGTTTTGTACCTCCAATTCATTGGCCCATCCTCCTGGAGCTTTGATAGAACTCTCCCTGACTTTTCTCACTCCCATTTTGTGTTCAGTTCATTCAGCACCACTGCAGAGAAAAGAATTAGTCAGCATTGCTAGTCCTTGAACACTTCCTTAACTCACATGTACTGCAGATTAAAAATTAATCATACGAGGGATATAAAATGGAGACATTACGTGTGCTGCTCATCATTTTCCCCCTCCCTTTTCTACTAAAATGGTTGAGGGTTTTTTTTTCTTTTTTCAACTGATATAAACATCCTGTTTTCTTTTTGAATAGGTCCAGTCTGTCCTGAGAAGGAACTGGCATCAATATAAGATCCAATTTGAGCATAGTTTTGCCCACTCGGATGCTCTTCGCTCAGCTTCATACACCGTCTCGTCTTCAATCACTGATGCTCAGAGCTTCACCTATAATCATGAATGCAACAGTGAACATTTAAATGGGAAAAACTATCATGACATGGACAATGTGATATTTAAAGCTGAGAAGTTATATGGCTGAATAGAGAAGACTCTTTATGCCCAACCCACCCGTAATGTTTTGCGTGGATACCTTTGTGAAGAAAGAGGATCTTCTTTTTTTGTTTTCTTTTTTGTCAAGTGTTGTCGAAGATGGTTGTTCTTGAAAGATACAGTGAATTTGTTTCTCGCACCTGCACATGCTGTTACTTAGCTTGGCATGTGTGGGTTCGCTCTTGGTTGTTTATACACTGAAGCAGGTCATGCCCATCAACTGAACTTTGGAACAGCTTTGACTCCTGGATTCCCCGCATTGAAAGAAATACTGGTTGAAATTTGGGATCAGTCATGCTCTAAGTATATGCAGACGAATGTGTATGTTTTTTTACATATGAAGACGTATCAAGACAAATCAATGTTGCCAATTCAGTTTCTACTGTGTAGACAAAGTGGGCAATTATTTTGTATGAAGGGAATCAAAGAAAAGTTCCTTATTTTTTTCTCCCAGCAGTTTGTAATATGACTGGGTTTTCTTGGAGGTCATTTTGTTTGTTGACAAAAAATACCCTTGTAAATATTGTATTTAGCATATTATGTTGTCTTAAGTGCAGCCAACAGAGATGTTGAGAAAGGATGCAGTCATGACAATGCATTCTTCATGTTGTCTGTACAACATTTAATTCTGACAAAGATAGGGGGAAAAATCTGCGATATTTTAAACTGCGAGTGTTATAAAGCTCTTAGGAATTTTAGGGCCAGCACTGTATGATATACCTCTGCCTTTTTCCTCCACAGAGAGTCTCTCATAAGAAAGAATGGATAACTAGAGTCACAATCCTTGGTTGCCATTGTTCTCTTCTAAGCATAGCAGTTCTGTGGAGTATCTATGCTTGCATCAGTTTCCTTTCCCTCAAAATAACTTATTTGACTTCTTCTCATGCTTTCGTGTGACCCTCTCCAGTAAAGTGAACTGGAGCACATCAACAGAATTGAATAGCCTCTATAGCAGTGGTTCTCAACCTCTGGGTCCCCAGGTGTTTTGGACTACAACTCCCAGAAATCCCAGCTAGTTTACCAGCTGTTAGGATTTCTGGGAGATGGAGGCCAAAACAACTAGGGACCCACAGGTTGAGAACCACTGCTATATAGGGTTGGTTCTGGTGACTGTGGCTGTTTGATATGTAATAAATCAATTAGGCACTGTTCTTACCTCAAAGACCTGTAATCCTTACCTACTTAGTAAAAAGAAAGGGAAGTTGGCACCTTTAAATGTTTCAGACTGGTTTCCTTGACCAGATGTTTAGCCTCAGAGGAAAGTTAGCAGACAACAAGCTATGCAGTCTTCTGAGGTACAGACTGTCGGAACCCAGACACCTTAAAGAGCCAGACTCAGGAGTATGTCCAAAAGGATAGTTTATTAAAGCAAAGTAAACAGGACTCAGAGACACTTGCTTCAGTGCCTCTGGTCAAAACTCAAAAGTTGTAACAGTTTCTAGCTTAAAAAACAAACATAGTCAATAATCTGGATTATCCTGGCAAAAAAACACGGATTATACAGGAGTTCTTCCAAAACACCCCAAAACTCACACAGTAAAAGGAAAACAATCCAATAAAGAGCCGTGAAGAAGATTTGTTGTCCAAATGAAGTCCAAAGTCGAAGAAATCAAAGTCCAAAGTTGAAAGGTTCCAAAGTCCACAAGGCAGCATCGTCATCAAAAGCAGTCCGAAGTCAAGGAGAGAGGAAATCCGCACTTACGAGAATCCAAGCCGGTCAGTACACGAAGCAAAACAGCAACCTGCAGATCCAGGACCCAAGCCCAACAGGAAAGCTGCAGCGACAAGACCCAAGGCACAAAACCAACACTTTGCCTACTGCATAGTACTAACTATTCAGTGCCTACTTTTATCTTACAACTCATCATCCGATGATGAGCTACCCTCCACCCCGTCCTCATCACTCTCAGCTGGTTTAGCTTCCACAGCTGAGCGCCAACGCCCATCCCTCCAACTCTTCCACCTCTTGTCAAGACTTAGGTCTCCCCAGGATTCTACAGTATCACCCGATTGCCAATCCCCACCATCAGAAAACCCCGCAAATGTGTCACTGGACATTGGTTGTGTACACACATTCTGAACCTCTTGTACCTTGGTCCAATCTAGTGCTGGCTCCTCATCCCCATCACTCCCAGACCCATCATTCCCAGAAAAATCCATGAAATCCTCTTCCTCCGTGGGAGCAGTAAGTATCTCCCAGATCTTCTTTCTCTGACACTCTTCGTCTGACTCTTGCTCTCGAGTAATCCTCTTAGTTCCCCTATTGACATCTACTGTATCTCCTTCCTCCTCCTCACTCATTTCACTCTCGGAGAATCCCTCGAAGGATTCTTCATCAGTGGGTGACATGAGTATCTCCTGGATCCTCTTCCTCTGCTGTTCCTCATCTAGTTCCTGAATACCTCTTTTCCCTCCTCTGACACTCCTACTACCAGTTGCAGAGTTGCCAACAGACTCTACTACAACACAGACACCTGGCTGTGTGTATATATTTGGAGAGGTGATGACATGAAATGCAAATAGTTGTATTGATTTCAGAAAATATGCAGAGCTGTTGAAGGATTTCCCATGTGTGATATGAGCATCAAAGATCTAAACCATGACTTAGAGAAAGGGGAACTAAAATTAAGTGTGTAAGTTAACTGGTCATTACAATGTTTATAATATGAACAATGTTTTTGATTAATGTGTGTCCAAAGATAGGTGAGGAGAATTCTGTATCTGACTACTTCAACTGAGTGTAAACTGCCTATATACTGTAAAATTGAGAGTTCTGGAGGTCATTGTTTGGCAGAAGTGAAAGCAGTTGATGGACAGGAAACTCACCTGAAATGCATCTACAGTGTAGAATTAATGCATTTTGATACCTATTATCCTGTCATTACTTGATGCTATGAAAATCTGGAATTTGTAGTTTGGTGAGGCACTAGCACACTTTACCAGATAGGGCTAAAGACCTGCTAAACATTCTCATCCCATAGTCCCATAGCATTGAGCCATGTCAGTTCAAGTGAGGTCAAGCTGCATTGGTTCTATAGTTGCAGCCAACACAAAACTCTATCCGTTCACCATTTATTTTCACAGGAAGAAATCTTCTTTAGAAGTCATAGGAAAATTGAAGAGTTGGTTCCCTTTTTGACCTAGAAATATGTTTGCTATTAGAAGAGACCAAATGATGATATACTGATCACAGTTGACACCTAATTTTGAGCTAGGATTTGCATTGGTTTTCTATAGGGATTGATTATTTTAAAGGCAATAGAATCCCCTTGTCATCTCCCCAACAATGTTTCTTTTAAAAATTGATGGGAGTGTTACCTGAAAAAGCATACATTTCATTCTGGCTCAAGAAAACACCTCAATGGCCAATGGTCTGCACTTTACACCAGAAAAGATGTGATGTGTTTTCAAATCTTGCCTGGAAATATGATGCTTAGAGTGCATCGACACACACCACTACAATTGCCATGGCTCAATATGAAGGAATTGTGGAAGCTGTAGTTTTACAAGATCTTTAGCCAACTCTGGCATAAGAATACTGGTGCCTTAAAAATACAACTCCCATAACATTGAGCCATGCCAGTTAAAGTGGTGGCAAACTGTCTTAATTCTACAGTTTTAATTAACCCCATAGTCAAGCTGATTAAATCTGGTATAAGGGATGGTGTGTCTTAACTGGATGCAGGATTATATCCAGATGCAATTGTGGAAGAAGCTTCATGTGATTTGCTGTGTAAGTGCTGATATAGTCCTTATAATCTTGAATAATGTTATAATACTGCTTCTGAGAATCAAGTGGCTTTCTAGAGAATGTTAGACTACAGCTCCCAAAAGCAGGGGTTGGGCAACTGTGAAAAGCATGGGGGGGGGGATACATTCGCCCCCTAGGAGATCTTGGTGGCCACGTCTCCCTCTCCATGTCTTCAGTAAAGGAAAGGTTTGTCCTTGAATTCCTTCAAGAATATTTTTTGTCATTATTAAAGAATGACCTGGCCCAAGAAAGGCATTTTGGCAACAAAAGCATTGCAAGTCCATAGATTGCATTTGGCCCAATGCGCCCATCAGACTTAGCCATTACAGCCAATGAGGAATGAGCTGGGAGATGCAGTTTACCAGTACCTGGAGGATCACTTGATTCTCATCCCTGACTTACACTGAGAAGTGCTTTATTCAGTAGATAACACCACTGTGGTTGTTTTTCTTAAATAAACAAAAGTTATGGTTTGGAAAAAGATTTAAGAGTTCTATAAATATTTTGGTGCCACCATGGTGTGGTTTGAGCACTGGATTAGGATTCGAGACCCCACGCGGCTGTGAAAAATCACTGGGTGACCTTGGACAAGGCACACTCTCTCAGACAAAGGCAGTGGCAATCCTCCTCTGTTCAAACTTTGCGAAGAAAACCCAACAATAATGGCCACCTTAGAGTTTGTCATCAGTGGGAAACAAGTTGGGGGCAAGCTATAGCAAAAATATTTAGAAGTAAATATAAATGTAGAATGTAGATCTTTGTGAAATGCTTTCTGGTATACTGAAAATCAAGTTTTGGAAATGCAGGAATTCCTGAAAAGTCAAAGGAAAAATGTATTTTTTTAAAAAAAAACTCTCTGTACTTCATTTAATGTGAAAGAACAAGAGACATTCTGCGACTTCCACTGTTGAAAGATGTTCTCATAATTAATGTCTTTCTGCCTTGTGAAAGGAGCTGGCCAGGGTTGAAATGGGTTTCTTCATCTTTCTCAGAATAACATCTGGTTTCTAAATATTATGCTGGAAGATGAAATGATTAGTTTCCTTGTTTCTCAGAGCTGTGTGTTATTAATTGTCACTCGGGAGACTTCAGTTCATTGACAGTGTATTTGTTAGCCTTTGTGATGCTTTGAAGAATGAAAGACTTCAAAGTACTCATACAAGCAGTCCCCAAGTTACAAACAAGATAGATTCTGTAGGTTTGTTCTTAAGTTGCATTTATGTGTAAGTCGGAACAAGCACATTTTCTAAGTATAACTCCAGCTATACTTAGCTGGAGTTCAGAGGATTTCACCTCATTTAATGTTCCTGTGGCGCAGTGGGTTAAAGCACTGAGCTGCTGAGCTTGTTGATCGAAAGGTCGCAGGTTCGATTCTGGGGAGCGGCGTGAGCTTCCGCTGTCAGCCCTAGCTTCTGCCAACCTAGCAGTTCAAAAACATGCAAATGTGAGTAGATCAATAGGTACCGCTCCGGCGGGAAGGTAACGGCGCTCCATGCAGTCATGCCGGCCACATGACCTTGGAGGTGTCTACGGACAACGCTGGCTCTTTGGCTTAGAAATGGAGATGAGCACCACACCCCAGAGTCAGACATGACTGGACTTAATGTCAGGGGACTACCTTTACCTTTTACCTAATGTTCCTGTATAATTGAATTTTGAAAAAAAAATACTTATTGTGGAAACAAGGATTAGTGATAAAGTTTCAGTTAAGCCACCTTTTCCTCATGACAACTGTTTTAGGAGTGAATTACCCTTTCTAGGGGTTCCTATTATCTTACCCCTGTTCTTAACTATGAGTCATTTGTAAGACGGATGCTTGTAACTCGGGGCCTGCCTGTAATCATATTGTCACATTTGTATGGAAAATATTGACTCACTGATTGCTTGACATTTTGTTCTTTCAGTGGATGATAGTCGACTAGATAACAAAATAGCTATTTAAAGTCATTTAATTTTCTGAACCAGTTATGTATTTATTGTGAAAAGCACAGCCATGTTTATGCAAGCTCAATCAGCGCAGAAAAGTACAACTTTCTCTTTAGGATATCTGTCTTCGTGGAAACCATGACAGTATTAACCACTATTAAGGGTTGCAATGGTAGCTTTAGAAGCACATGCTCAGATCTAAGAAAAGCACAAGATTAGCAAGAGAAAATTTTGCAAAACAATCTAAATGGGCCGAATTTCCAAATTGTGGTGGTCAGATATTACCTTGATTGTAAACAATATATACATGTATTAGCCCAAAGTATGTATACTGTTGGAAATCAAATCCCAAAAGTCCCTATTTCAGTTATACTGGATGCATATTTTTTTAAAGGCTGTTACACAGAGTCTGCTATTTGCTCTAGCCATGACATCACTGATGGATGGTTGTTTGTTTAACAGCTTTTTTCCATGGGGTTTCAGTCATGGGTGTGTTCCCATAGAGGTTTGTCTCTGCCTTTCCGAGCAAGAAGAAACTCTCTAATGTGACAGAAAACCCTGGAATTTCCTTCTCTTTTTTAGATTTTAAGGGTTGAGGAGAAATCTTACTGTCTGCACACATTTAAAGAGAATTGATTGTGTCCAAGGTTATGTTGGTCAACAAAGCACATCTATGACTTTCGTTTATGAGTTAGGAATGCTTAACAGTGCAATATGGAATGTGTATGTACATCTGGAAGTTTTCTTTTATAGAAAACTATGGAAAGCATTGGGAAGAAGGCCACGTGTCTCATTAGGACAGTCACCCGTCAGAAGACCCTAATTTCAGTCATTACTTTCCTGCACTGATATGGAGATTAGAACACTTTAACTTCGGTGCTGAACTTCTTATCAGATTAGCATCTCAGGGCTCTCTGCATGGTAATTATATTGTCTTTTTTCACTTGTGGATTTTCAGGTGAATATATGAACTGCCTTTTCTGAAATGTATTGCATTCATGTGGATATTAGGTGGCAAGACAAAAGTTAATGTTTAGGACTATATAGCCTCAGACATGTTGGAGTCCTGGAACTTCTATTCCAAAAATAAATTTTTCCAAGTTCAGCATACAAGCCATAGTTGGATATTGCAGTCAACGAATCATACGTGTGAAACTGCTTGGTTGGTTTAAATGCAGGGAATGAACTCACTTGTTTGACAATCAACATGTTGTTGTATGCTATTACCTTATCAATGTGAATAAGCATCTTGGAATAATGACCTCTATGAAGGTGGCTCAAAGCATTTTTTTTGAGCAGTTATTTCAGTTAATCACTGAAAATGTATAATGTATAATGTGGGGAGGAGTCAGACAAGAGAATTTTAAGGCTCTCATCTGACTTTTAGTACCTAATAATAATGAATGTGTAAATTCTAATGTTGATGAATAGTACTCCAAATGAATGAATATCTATTTTTGTGCAGATGCCTTCAATTA